TTTATTTAAAAAACAAAGAGAGAAGTTAATCTGTGGCAGATGCCCACAGAATTGTCAAATGAAAACCCTCTCTTTGGATAAATCAGTGAGGATTTCAAAACCACAAGAGATTGCCTCTGGGACATCTCATGTTTGCAAGGGACTCATTGACTTTTCACTCTCAGATTGGCCAAGGTCTGCTAGCCAAGAGCTGCTGCAGTTGCAGCTGGGAAGACAGGGAATTATCAGGGGAAATTGCTGATGATGGAATTTGCTTTCTAATGAGACCAGAGGGCACTGACCTCCAGGGTGAACTGAGACTTCGATAGCCAGGCATTTCTCTCCATGTGTTATGACTTCTCTTACTCCTTGGAAGAGGAGAGCCTGTCAGCACACCGTCAGCATCAGGAGCTGTGCCTGGAGTTTGGAGTGCTTCTGCAATGGCATGCAGTGAGACAAAACCCATTGTGATATCCACAGCAAAGCGTGGGCCAAATGGACCTCCAGGGATGCAGGCGAAGCCCAAGGAGAAAGGAACCAGTCTTGGGAGAGGCCAGCCCAGATTCACTGCTCACTAACATGCCAGAGCTCCTTGAGAGTGACAGAAAATGCTCAGTCAGCCCCAGAGTTAAGCTGACTGGTGGAAGACACAAATTCAGTGAATGAAGAACGTGCAAACCCATCCTGGAAGCCAAACACATCCTGCTGGGCTTTGTTGATGCTGAGCTTTCAGAAGGTGCCTTGGGGATCACAGTGCCTCCTGGGTTTCAATGTTTCCACTTGATGTCTTGAGGATGCACAAACCATGTTTGAATGTTCATAGAATCACAGAGTGGTCTGGGTGGGAAGGGATCTTTCAAGGTCATCCAGTCCAACTCCCTGCCCTGAGCAGGGACATCTGCAGCTAGAGCAGGTTGCTCGGAGCCCCGGCCAACCTCACCTGGAATGGTTCCAGGGATGGGGCAGTGACCACCTCTCTGGGCAGCCTGGGCCAGGGGCTCAACACCCTCAGCAGCAAAAATTTCTCCCTTCTCTCTAGTCTAAATCTCCCTCTTTTAGTTTCAAACCAGCCCCCCTTGTCCTGTCCCAACAGACCCTGCTCAAAAGTCCGTTCCAACTTTCTGACAGGCCTTTAAGCACTGATATCCCACCAGAAGATCTCCCCAGAGCCTTCTCTTCCCCAGGCTGAACAACCCCAACCCTCTCAGCCTATCCTCATAGAAGCAGCATGAAGAAAGCTTCTATTCCAGTGGGCAGAAATCAAAGCAGAAATGAAAATCAAACACATCAGAGGTGTAATTGCAGTGGGTTAAGTTGCACTTCTTATAAGCTGTAGTAAAAAATGCCTGTGGAAAAGGGAGGGGAAAGCTAAACCAAGAGGAAGTTTGGTCTTATGGAAGGTGATAATTAAATGCAGATCAAATGTGGAATGCAAGAAAAAAAAGTCAGGCTGAAGTCCATCCAATAAGCCAGAAAACGGGATTATCACAAAGGTGACATTTAACAAAAAAAGAGTTTAAAGCTTTCAACAAGATCAGCAAAGTCCACACACATGGATTCTGGGGAAGCAATGAAAAGTGGTTGCTACGATTGCAGATGGAGAGGAACCAGCAAGAGAGTGGTTGGAAAACTGGAAATAGCTCAGTACATGTGGCAGTTGGGTACCAGGTCCTGGTATGCAAAAGTTTATTGAAACCTTGATGGTCACTGAAGATGTATGATGTAGATGGTGGAGATGACCCTGTAAAACACCACAGGTCAATCACCTGGTGTCCAGCTTCAGCAGAAAATTCCCAAGCTAGTAATGGGAAGAGCAGGAAACAACGGATTTCAAAGAAACTTACTGGGCAGAGGGCACACAAATGTACATTAACTGACTGCAAACAGTTGACATAGTGATTCATCAACTCCACTTGACAAAAAAAAATCAATCCCCACTGTTTTAGCTATGGGCAGAGTCAACTCAATAGGCAAGTGGCATGAGAAATGGGCACCATGACCCCAGAAAACCATGAAGGAGAAAGGTGGCAGTCAGGTGTAATGTCTGGAGGAGGATGTAAACCACGTTTCAGTTCAGTCTAATAACATTAATGAGGAAAGGAGATAAAATAATTGAAGTTTGCCAGCTAGACTAGCATGGTGAAGTAAAGCCAAGGGCCTCTAACTCCACAGACTGGGCAATAAAAGCAGTGAGCATGTAATGGGGAAGGGAGGCTGAGGCAAACCATGACAGGATAATTAGGAGCAATGAGATGGAATTAAGAAAAAAAAAAAAAAAGCTGATTATCTGCAAAAATAACCTTGTAGCAGAAGAACTGTGAGCATCAAATTTGGACAAATTACTCCAGGGCAAGTTTCACAAAACAGCTCAGTATCAGTCAGAAGACTGACAACAGCACAGTATGGGTCTTATCTTGGTTTCCCAAGAGAAACCACCAGTCACCACAGCTTGTAAAGCTAAACAACGTTCCTGCAGAAGAAAACAAGTCAGTAATTGGAAGCCAGGACATTCCAGCTCCATATTATGCCCCAGACCACCTGACCAGAAAGTTTTAAGCATGAAATTTAGACTTTAGCATGCAGAGACGTGACCCTACTTGCATCTGTGTCACTCTGCAGAACAGAAATGGGGCGACCATTTTTCCTAAAAACTTCCCAATTTAATTTTCAAATACTATTTCACCTTTGCTGGAGGGTGGAAAATCTTTTTCTGAGGATTAGAAAGATAAAAGTCTGCCCACAGCATTGTTAACATCTTTGCATACGCTTTAGGATAAATCTCCATTCATTCTTCCGAGGTGTTTTATGTTTGTAATTAAGCTTGCAGATTGGTAAATGCTCCATGAAGTTACAAATTAGGACAGACTCAATAATATATCTGCCCATTAATTCAGAAGAATGCAAAGCAATGAACAGGTATTGGTCCTTCTTATCCCTTCTCCTCAGCTCTGTCTTCTCCCTGACTTACCAAGGGGGATGTACAGAAAAGTAGGATCTCAATCCCTTATATGGAGAGCAGTCAGCAAGTAGCAGCACGTTCTGATGTGAGAGGAGCAGCTATTCCATAAATCTGAAACATGTTCTGGACAACAGCAGAGTTTACACAGACCACAAGAATTACAGGAATCAACCCCCTTCTGTTTGCAGCCTCTGAACGAGAGATCCAGTGTAGGTCCAGTAGTGGACGAGGATAATCCAGCAGCAACAGGGTCCAGCTCCAAGTACTGAAACACAAACCATGCACGTTTGGAAATGTTTGGCACATTCTAAATATAAGAAGAGAGTCTTCTTTTATGTTTAAGTTCTCCTAATTAGGAAGAGCTGATTAAACGACTTATCTGGAAAGGCAGCAATGTAAACCCAAGCCTGTTTTCTGGAGCAGAGGTGTCAAGCCTCTTCCTTTCAGAGGGTTGTTTTCATTTTTTGACTGTCCATCAACCAAAGTAAACATTTCAGGCAGGAGAGTTACAATTTATCAGGGCTAGAAGGGTTTTTTTTTCAGCTATCCACACTGCAGCATGGTCCTTTACATGGGCTGAAATTCTTCGTTGGGTTGGGTGGTGGTTCACTGCATTTATAGGAGTGGTGTTTCTGTCACCCTGTTCCCTTCCCATTTCCCCTCCTTTTTAATTTACATTGTTTCTTCCCCCTTCATAATTATTCCTAAATCCATAACCCAAACATACAGACCATAAATACCTCAGCCAGAGGCAGCTCAGAGGCCATCTATCTGTCACTTCTCCTCCAAAGCCTTCCATGTTGTTTCAAAATCTCAACAATGACCTTTTAGTGTTTCATTTGGAGATTATTCCCTTTCATCACAACACTTCTCACTTGACTTGGTCTGAACTAGTTTCAGATACAAACCTTACCTAAGCTCTGGTGTTCTCAGGCCTCACCAAGTTTGTTTTATGCTGCTCTCTTTCCTCTCAAAAGGTTCCTTGAGCATAAATATACATGTACATACATTTTTAAATGTGCACACATATACACATTTAATAATGGTAAGCAAAAGACTCCTGGATCCTCTGCAATCCAAGTCTAATGTGAAGTCAGAAACCTTCCTATGCCTGAGAAACACCTAAAAAGCAAAGGTAGTTACTTACCTTTGAGAAGAACGTGACTGATGCCATTTGTGTGAAACCACAAATATTTATTTTTAATGAAAAAATACTTAAAGTGTGCCACAGTGTCCATATATTCATTTGAATAGTAGTACAAAGATATGTATTTCTGAGAAAAAAGTCTTAACACTGTAGAAAATAAATGTGGTTCTTAAATTATGTCAAAAGAAACCAGTAAAAAAGTAATGTTTTATACACTGGAATAAAATGAAACATTTAGAGATAATAATAAATTATAATTACAGTTTTTCAAATATTTGCTTCATGCTTTTTTTTCAGCATTAGTTTCTAACTGTGTCACGTAGAATATGCCCTCAGAAGCCAGCAGTCAGAATGGTCTTTCAATGGTACTGTGGATAATAGGATGTGGAGCTGAATAAAGTCCTAGAAAAATGACACCACTGGTTGTTATTTACTGAGACATAAAACATCAGAACATGGCAGTTTTAGGTTTGTATCTAACACAGAGTTTTGTTAATGGAAATTAATTTAGGTTTGGTTTGTTTATTTTTTTTTTTTAATCAACTAATCTTTTATGCTTTAATGAACTAAACAGCAATTATGGTCATTAACAAGTATGTCACCCAAGCACACTGCACAACCGTGCTGATGGGATGCTACGTGTTGCATCAGCTTTTTATACAGTCCAAGTGAACAGGAATTTGGAATCTTTTCAGGTCTAATTAAGCACTGCAAAATGTTTAAAACGATAAAGTGCTTTTAAATACAAATCTGTTTTTTTTTTTTTTTCTCTTTAGAAATAGGAAAAAATCCAAACATGCACTTAAACCTGAAACCTCCATGCCATATATACTGCAGTTCAACAGTAAAACGTCAGTTTTGTGCCATTTGGTTTAAAATTTCCTTTCCCATCCCGCCCCATCCCCAGTCAAAAATTCAAATTGTGTCTAAATTGGATTTGTCAGGATCTTCTTGGTCGTGTTTGTACATGAAGGTTAGCAGGAAAAGAGCAATATCCAGAGATGACCAGTAGGCAGTGTGTGAAGTGACTGCGGACCAGTATCTGCTCTCCACGAGACCTTCCCTGAGCTCAAAATCAATCCTGTGCTCCAGTTCCACTAGAAATTAAACAAGAAACAAAAACATTGTTAGGGTTTTATGGCAGCTCAGGAAAAAAACCCACCAGCATGTTTCTCCAGCAGCTTTGGGTTCTGATTCTACTTGTAGAATATGATGCAGATAAATGTATTTAGATATACCTACATTTATGTGCACAAAATGCATAGAATATCTCTGTGCTTACATTTAACAGTACACTCACCTAAATCAACTGATTTTTAATAATACATACATATGTTTTGATGCACATGCATTTAGCACAAACCTGATGCAGGAGTCTGCTTAGTTCAGGAAAAGAAACTAAACCTAAAGCTTGGGAAAAGCTGCCTTTTTTTAAAGAGCTGTTTTCCTTACAGTAATGGTATAAATGCATTTAATTATAATAAATACATAGATGACTAGAGCATCTCTGTGCCAGGACAGGCTGAGAGCCCTGGGGCTGTTCAGCTGGAGAAGAGAAGCCTCAGAGGGGATCTGATCAATGCTGAGCAAGAGCTAAGGGGCCCATGGGGGGCAAGAGGCTGGGGCCAGACTCTGATTTTCAGTGGTGCCCAGTGCCAATGGGCACAAACTGGAACACAGAAGGTTCCACCTGAACAGGAGGAGAAACTTCTTTGCTGTGAGGGTGCAGAGCCTGGAGCAGCTGCCCAGAGAGGCTGTGGAGTCTCCTTCTCTGGAGAGATTCCAAACCCGCCTGGGCACCATCCTGGGCACCCTGCTGTGGGTGAGCTGCTGGAGCAGGGGGGCTGGATGAGATGATCTCCAGAGGTCCCTTCCAACCCCACCATGGTGTGATTCTATGATGTATACTCCATCTGATAACTCCACAGAAGTATCCAGCAAATGTAGAGGCTCCATTAGGAAACACTGACTTTCAGAAGGTGGATGCTCAGAACTTTCTGAAGCAAACGGACTTCTCCCATCCTTAGTGGCTACACAGGGAGAAAAGCCCTGTCTGAAAACCAGTGGGCCCTACACAGCACTATCCCTTCTCATTTCCAGATTATTCCCAAATATATTTCAGCAGTTATTCTTTCAGTTCAATGGCTGCTTTGATTAATACCACATTCAAAGCAATTTTCACTGCGTGTTTAACTGGGCCAAGAGCTAACCTATTGTTAAAGCACTTGAGCAGTTAGAAAAACCTCTACGAGGAACAACAGAAGAAAAAAGGACAAAAACTAAAAAAGCCTGCTTAGCTACAAAAGCCAAACCCCCATATCGAGTCAAAAATGCAGCAATTTATCAAAGGCAGTTTGAAGGAATTCTCATTCTTGGCTCCGTGAGCGCCTCACGCAGGCGCCGCCTCTGCCGCCGGGGCACAGCAGCTCTCGGGGCACAACGGCCCTTCAGCTGTTCTCAGGAGCACAGCCATGGCAAGGAGAAGGAGCCAGAGCCTTTGAACACCAGGAGACAGCCACAGTCATTTCCAGTAAGAGCCATAGATTCCCAAAACCTCAGGCTCCCCGCAGGAAGGCCGCCCGCGCCTGCCTCGGACGAGCGGCCGTTCCGGGAGCCTGGGAGGCAGCCAAAGGCCACCCCGAGCCCAGCGCCCGCCCTCTCCGAGGCAAATCCTCTGGCTGTGGATTGCATCATTCAGCTCACAGCCTTGCTGGCCTCTGCTCCACGTTCTCCTAGGGAGCAGGGATGGGCTGTCAGCAGGGAGGGATGCAGGAACCGTGCAGAAGGCTCTCAACGTGCCCATCCTCCCCTAGAAAGAACCTCATAGGTAGCTCCACAATATTCACTCTCATGCCACTCTGCTTTCCTTGAGTTTCAAACCAAGCCTCTGTCCTCACAGACTGACTCAGGTTATCTGTTGAAATGAGCAGTGATCAACTGACAGCAATGTATCATGTGAATGTTATCATAAGATACAACATACTTGTGACTCCTTAGATTGCAAAAAAAACACTCGCCTTGCAACAAGGAGAAGTTTAGAAATAAAACCAAGTATGAATTTCTGTAAAGTTCCTATACTTTTCCAAAAAAAGCCCCAACTGCACTTTCTGCTCTGGGCAATTCAGATTAGGACAAGGGCAGCTTGTGTCCAGTCATGCATGCCTTTAAATCCAAACTGCTTCAGAATTGAAAATGTGTGGGGAAATTTAAATAAATCCATTTTATGATAAATGGTGGGTGGGATTCTCTGCAGCAATTATATTGATTTTCCTTGTGGGAGTCCAGGATCTACTGAGACACAGATCTCAGTAAGCAAAGCTCTTACATGCATGTATATACATGGTGCATATGTACAAACAAACATATATATAAGATAGACTAGATATAAAGAAGGAATTTTGGCTGCTGAGGGTGGTGAGCCCCTGGCCCAGGCTGCCCAGAGAGGTGGTTGCTGCCCCATCCCTGGAACCATTCCAGGTGAGGTTGGCCGGGGCTCTGAGCAACCTGCTCTAGCTGCAGATGTGCCTGCTCAGGGCAGAGGACTGGATGACTTTAAAGGTCCCTCCCAACCAAACCATTCTGTGATTCTACCAACCTCCTTTAAGAGGAAAAAATCATGAAAGGGAGAAAAAAGAATCAATCCTTGGACAGTCTGGAGAGATTCAAAAAGCAGGCTGGGATTCCACACTTATCACTTTAGAGCAAACCAACACAATGAAATAGCAGCGTATGTTGCTGGGAGTATTTCCAGCATCTCCCAATGTACAGGTGGAGCCCACTAAAGGTCTTGCTTCCATGGGTTGTGTAAGGTGGCCTCAGCACCCACCTGTGGGTTCGAGGAAGCCCGAGCTGCTGTGTGACAAAGGAGGTGTCCCAGCAGTTGAGGCCTTCTTGTCATCCCCCTCGGCTCCGTCCTTTCCTGTCTCCAGTGTCTGTGGGGTGGTTGTACTGGATCGACCAAATCTGGAGAACAACATCCCACCCAGGCCCTTCCCGATGCTCGCAGCTCCTGAATGCAGCATGGAGGGAACAAAAGAGAAGCACAAGGACAGCTGAATCAACCCACAAATTAAAGTCACCGTAGTGCCCGTTAATTAGGGCTGAGTGACAGATGAAGGAAAACACTGTTCGTGCTTTTCTAGGGTGGGAACAGCTCATCTGACTTGAGTGTACACTGTTTATCAGGAGATTAATCTAGTGTACAAGTGAAGGCTATAATTTGGAAACTGTAGGGGGGAAAAAAATACATGAGGATATTTCTGCAGCAAGAAATCTGGTGCTTTTACAGACAGCTTGTAATTCCTCTTTCAGAAAAAGTCAGACAAAAATGCTTTGTAACAATGGTATCTTCTGCCATTCCTTTCACGAAGGACCCTTGTGTTGGCATCACCCTTATGGACATTCAGAAGTTCTCTATCATCCTTTAAAAGGACCAGGGAGGATTCCAATATTCCCAACATTGGAAATATTCAAGGCCAGGTTGGATGGGGCTTTGAGCAACCTGGTCCAGTGGGAGATGTCCGTGTCCATGGCAAGGGGACTGGAACTAGATGATCTTCAAGGTCCCTTCCAACCCAAACCATTCTATGATTCTATGACTATTTTGGTTGCTCGGGAAGAGGGGTGTAAAAGTTAAGAATAGATATGTGATGTTTTCTCCGACTTTGCTGCCACCTTATGGACAAGCCATTAAAGTTACTATAGTAACACAGCAAAAAGCAACTCTGCTTTGAACTATCACATATTTCTACTTAAGGCCTGAATTGCTTTTACTTATTCGATTGGGAAGATTCCTGGCACTGCTCTTCTTCCAAATCCCACACAGAGAGCTAAAGAAAAGCCTTGAGTCAACAACCACCACAAGTGCACGCTCAAATATAAGCTCCAGTGAAAGTGAATTTAAGCTCACTTAAACCAGGGCTTATTTTGAATCAGAAAGCCAGAAGGGGACAGACTTCATATTAAACCAGCCTGAATTTCCTGTTGTAAAATCATGAGTAAAATGTAACTGTAATAGCTTACACAGAGTCAGCTGGGATTAAAACAATCCCTATGCCTATACAGAACAAACTGAAACAGCCATCAATAGTTTGCTTAATAGGTTGCACCTCAAACACCACAACACAGAGCAGTGAAGCTCTACAAGAAAGTCCTAGATATCAACCAAAGGACATAAAGAACAATTACCTAATATACTTGCTTTGCCTATATTTGTTATAGACTCCCCGTAGTGGCGTCGGACCATGACTGGTGAAGTGGTTGGGCTTGGTACAGTTGAAGCACTTTCACTGTCTGTAACTGAGGTAGGTTCTTTTGTTGGGTTGAGAAAGCTTGGCTTCATATGCTCGTAAGGTAGAGGGTTTGCAGTGTTGTACCAGTGGATCTGGACAGGCGAAATGTTGCTGTAGTGTTTCAGGATTAAAGGTTCTAGTCTATAGGCCTGCAAGAGTAAATCAGAAAAGAAAATCCTGAGCGCTGAGACTGAAGAGATCATGTTCCCTTCCCATAGAGTCCCCCCTCTCCAACCTCAAACCCAAAATATCTCTAACAAGTGAAGCCTAGAAAGTGACAGAATGGTGGCATTATGTTCTGGTTCGCTTTATGTTCAAATTCAGCTTGAGTTTAAACACAAAATTACCCCCAAATTACAATTCTACAGTAAGTATGAAATCCCAAATCAAGCTTGCATCAAAGAAGTTGCCAAGGTGATAAAGATCAAAGGCCCTTTGAGAGCAGTAAACTCTGGTTGCCTATGGGAGAGTGTAAGGACAGGGTGAAGCTGTACCAATCCTGCCCTCCTAAATACTATCCCACCCTCTGACAACTCTGGACCCCTTGTGGAAAAAAACCCAGGGGTTTTCTTTTCCTACATTATCTTGCAAACTGGTTGTGAAACCTTTTTTAACAGCAGTAGTAACTCTGGACAGATGATGTTTAATGGAAGGCAGCAAATTAAAAACAAGTTGCATTTGATTATTTCTTATGGCTTTACAAAAAAAAAGGCAAATCTCAAAACCTTACACCTATTAATATGAAAAGAGGAGCAAAGTATATGGCATTTAAAGCAATTATTTGTAGGAACTGTTATTCTACAGTTACAACCCCCAAAACATTGTATGATAATCATTAACAAATAGTCCTGTGCTGGAACATGCATTGTCTCACATGCTTTGAAGATCACACAAAGCTGATGCTTAAAAACAGTCAAGGTAAAAGCTTGCAACTGCAATTAAAACTCACCACTGGATCTGTTGGATGAAAAATATTTAGCAAGCGGTTACAGATTGTTCTGGGCAGAATATGGTCTTGACTTCCACTGTTTCCTGGACGGATGCCACGCAATGCCAAAAACACTGCTAATGGAGATCCCATACAGAAGAAATTCTCAACCTAAAGAGAGATTTCATCCATGTTAATAAGGATGCAAATAATGCTTTCTAACATGGCTGGACTTGATTTCTCTCTTTCAACTGATTTCTCAGTTTCAACAGAGGGACTCGTACAAAATTAGTAAGTCAAAATGGAGAAGACCGCTATAACAAGAAGATTGAGTTTCCCTATTTCCTTTTGCTGTGAGAGAAGAGTTAAATGCTGTGGTGCTCCACAGATGGAACGCTGAAAAGCAAGTCTGACATTTGAACTGAAAGAAGTCTGTCAACACTGGAAAAGCTGGAGGAAGAAGAATTCAGAAGACACTAAGAGAATGTGTTGGGTTTCACAAGACTCAGGTCTGATTTCTGATGAAATGTCCTCAAGCTTTCCATACCTCCTTAATCTTACTCCGAGTACTCCTTGATTTCTTTTGCTACACACACCCATTGAGGAAGTAGAAATGTAATCTACACTGAGTATTAAAGACAACCTATGGAATACTCCTAGTAGTCACCCAGACATAGAGGCTGGTGTTATGGACAACCTCCTAAAACCACCTAGTGTTAAGTGAACAGAGCAATGCTTGTCAAAGGTGCCACCACATCACACTTTAGGAACAGAGCAGAGCATGCTGAGTGGCTCTGTGGGCAGCTCTCACATCAACCATAGCTTTGCTGGAAGAGAACTGCCTCTAACACTGAGGAGCAATGGAGAAAACCTGACCTGTGACTTCTAACCCAGCTGACAATGGTCACTGAACATGCAGCAGTGGTCACCACGAGCCTGGGTGGGGATTCAGCAGTGACCTAGAGGTGAATGGCTTTCTATCCCATTTCCAAGCCTCAGACATCACCTCCTGGAAACATCAAGTGTCAAACTCTGTAGTCAAATATGTTTTCAGAAGTCAAAATTACTTTCTAACTTCTAGAGTATTTTCTTAGATGAAAAATTTATTTTACCATTATCAGACCTTCACTGCAACTTCCCTAATAGTAGTGTCCAGTTTGCAGGGCACTACAACTGGGCAACTCTTCGTGTGCTGCTACTAAACCAGCAAGAGAAATTGCTTCATTCTTGCTGCGTGCACGTGGAGGACGCCTGGATTCCCATGCACATGGAGCATATGGCAGCACATAGGGCCAGGGTGTAGAAATAATGGTCCCTTTCATCTGTCAGATTCCAGCACTGCACAAAACATTCCTCCCCCTCTGACTTGGCACGGGTACTCTGCCTCTTCCTTCCAAAAGAATGCACAAGTCCCAGTTCAATGGAAAAAAAAACCCCTCATTTAGGTCTCCAGCAAAGCACTGCTCTGTCATCTCCATTGTCACTCTAGTGCAAAGCTGCTCTCCTTTCTCATCATCAAGCTTTAACAGACCCTTAGAGTTTTGCAGTTTGGACAAAAAGCTTTCTCATCTTCAGATACAATAGAAACAGATATTCACAGTGTAATCCTTTAAAGTGCATAAATAACCTTTCACCCTGTCCATCTGATACTCTTGTGCTGAGCACCTGGAGCACACAATTCTGGTCTTTCTGCTTCAGAAAGAAATCAGAAAGTGGTTGCCAGCTTAACACACTTGCTAGCAGATGCTTAAAAGATGCTTTCATGAATTGAGCTGAGGCAACTACAAAGCAGGCAAAAATCTCCAAAGGTAAATAGTTTCAGTGATCACACAGCTTTTGTTCCACCATTTCTACTGATAAACACAGGATTAGCAGTGTCCACAGACAGATGCTTTCTTCTTGGAGGGCACTGTTCTTCACTATGTATTTTCTTACATGCATGAGCCTTTCGACATGGTCTTCCAGCTCTGAAAATGCTTATAAAGACAAAGTACCAGTAGGTGGGTACCTAAACGGGTGGCACCAGACCAATACCAAAGCTCTGAAGGCTAAAAATCAAAAGTAAGTCTTCCAAAAATAAAGCCCTTTAAATTGCAGCCATTAGAGACTCAGCACTGTTGCAAAGTGGCTGTTGAGAAGACTGTCATGTGATGAAACCTACTGGGAAGAGAGGACTAAAATCTTTCTAGAAAACATTAATTAGTTTGGGTGTTTCTCCTAGAAGCAGGAGCAGGGCACTTCACGTTCTCCTCTAAGTGTTTAGCAACAGAGAAGAAAGGTTTAATATTCAGGAGAGTGCTTTTCTCCTGGGTATGATTCACAAACAGAAGACTTAATGAATTTATTTGCATTTTCAGCAGAGGCTGAGCCAAATAGTCATCCATTCAACTTAAGACTGAAGTATTTTCAGAGCTGAATAAACCAAGAGAAGTGAGGCAGCACAGCTCTTTTGTGCACAGGTGAGTGTGGAGGTAAACACAAGGCACAAGGTGATTAAAATCCATATTTCTGTACTGTCTTTCAGCCTGGAGATTCCCAAACATCCTCCTGGAGTGAGGAAATACAGACCTCTGCAGCAGCCTCTGCCTGTTCCTGCACCCAGGGACGTTCTGCAGCCTTGGCAGACACAGGGAATGGAGACTCATACCAGTTCCACATGGGGAATTTAACTGGGTGTTGTGTGTTGAACTATCACAGCACATTTCTGTGTTCTGTTTAGAGGCTTCCTCCTCTCAGATAAGGCTGCACGTCAGCATCTCATTAAGCTCTTGTAATTCCTGGACGTGTGGTAAATCACTAGTATCTTACAAGTAATTTGTGATAGCTGTTCTTACTGTCAGATGATGCTACGTAGAAACCACAAGGTCAAGTACAAGCTGGAGCTTCTTCAGCAAGAGTTTCTGTAACCCTTTGGGCCAGCACATTGTCATTTCCAGACTGAAATTCATTTCCTTTTCAGGACTGGGGAGCAACTGCAGTATGTCCTGCCCCCCCCTTCCCCACTGTGACTGAAAACCATCCTACAACACCATTACTTTCATGCATCAGAGTCAAAAAGAGGTAGGTATTGCATCATTCCCCATGCTCTCATGATCTTCAGCCTCTTCAGCCTTTAGCTCCTCCTCCCCTAACACAGCTGGCGTGGAGAATGCTGCACTTGTAAGTTTTACATTACAATGGGGTGTTGTTTCAGTGGCAAACCTTTTTCATTACAGTTGTACATGCCCATTTCATCACCTAACACAGCCTAAGGAGATCAGGGACCAAAGACTCCAGTCTCATGCATCTCACAGACCAGAGTAATTTGTGGATCAAGCATTTGTGGTGAATAGCTAGTGCAGGTAGTTGGTATCTACAAAGCAGTTCTCTTTCACCAAGCTAGAGACCCTCAGTAAGCTGGACTGGCTTCCTGATGAGCCATCATCCTTCAGTGCTCCT